TTGTAGCTTCCGTGGGTCAAGGTCCTGAAACACCGCAGAGACAGAGGCATCCTATTGTTTGCTTTGGCTGTGGTCAAACAGGTCACATGAGACGAGTGTGTCGTCAGAGGGTTAATCTTGCGACTTTGTCCAAAAACCTAAGTAGCTCACAAGGGGAAAGTTTGCCTAAACCGCCCTGTGAGAAAGCTGTTTTGGAGAAAGTCAGCGGGAATTTGGTTTCTGTGAGTACTGCCCCTTCTGGGAGTGCTGGTTTTGGGGAGCCTCTGTCGCGGGGTATGAGGGAGCTTGCATGCATGGGAGTGAAAGCGGCGCGCTCAACTTGCCCACGACTCAACATCTTCTTAGGTAAAACGGTGCAGAAGGCCCTTGTGGATTCTGGGTCAGCCCGTTGTCTCATTTCCCTTTCCCTGTTTGAAAACCTAAAATCTTCTGGGCTAATCAAGCAAGTTGAGCGAAGTACCCACATCTGCTGGACTGCATCGAAATCCCCACTTCCCATCATCTATGAAGCCCGTTTGAAATTCAAGATTGCACATTTTTCTTGGGTGTGGAGTTTTTGGGTAGCCAAGGACCTTTGCATTCCTGTCATTTTGGGAGCGGATTTCATTAAGCATTGTGGCCTGATTTTGGATTTAGGCAGAGGCCAGTGCTTCTTTCGTTTCGCAAGACGGGTGCTCATTCCTTTCGCGGATGAAATGGTGGATGGTGCAGCTGTGGTCGAGCCTGAGACACCCAGCAAACCAAAGGTTGATCTATTAGGGCATCTGACTCCTGGTGAGGCTGAAGCTATCAGAACGTTGTGTTCTCGTTTTCCTGAGGTGCTGACGCCAAAGCTTGGAGTCACCAATCTTTTGGAGTACGAAATCCGTTTGACTGACACCCGTCCAGTTCGTTCTCATCCTTACAAACTTGCTCCACCCAAGATGGAAACACTCCGTGGAATCATCAATGAGCTTCTTGAAAATGGGGTAATTGAGCCTTCTCGCTCAAGTTACGCAAGTCCAGCTTTTCTAGTTCCTAAGCCAAATGGCAAGTCTCGAATGGTTCTAGATTATCGCAAGTTGAATGCTCAGATTGAAATTGACTCTGTCCCTCTCCCTGATTTGCACTCTGCGTTCGATTGGTTCGGTAAGGCCAAGTATTTTTCCGTGTTTGATTTGAACCAGGCTTACCATCAGATTCCTTTGAAACCTGAATCTCGACCTCTCACTGCCTTCTGCGTTCCGTGGAACTTGTACCAGTTCACACGTGTTCCCATGGGCCTAGCTGTGGGGGCCCAGACCCTCACCAGACTTCTGGACTCCATCTTCCATGACGTCAAGTTCAAATTTGTGTTCAACTATCTTGACGATCTTTTGGTGTACAGTGAGAGCTTTGAAGACCATCTGGTTCATCTTGAGGAAGTCATGAATAGGTTGCTTAGGGCTGGCCTTACCGTAAATCCCGAGAAAGTTAGTTTTGCTCAGGCTGAGATTTCTTTCCTAGGTCATCTAGTATCATCTCGAGGTGTCTGTATCGATCCGGCTAGAACCCAGGCTATCAGGGAGTTTCCTCCTCCCCGAGATGTCAAAGGCATTGCCCGTTTCATTGGAATGGTGGGTTTCTACCGGCGCTTCATCCCCAATGTGGCTGAGTTGGCGGCTCCTCTCAATGAGCTTCGGAAGAAGGGCGCCAAGTTTGTTTGGGGTGAAGCACAACAGATGTCTTTTGATCTTCTGAAAGAAGCTATCATGCAACCTCCGGTCTTGGCGATGCCAGATTTCAGTCAAAAGTTTGTTTTGCAAACCGATGCTTCCTCCGTCGCAATTGCGGCTGTGTTGTCTCAAGAGGTAGATGGTGTTAGGCAGCCAATTGCGTATGCCTCACGCACTTTGAACCCATGCGAAAAGAAAAGCTCTTCTGTGTATGAGTTAGAGTGTTTGGCTGTCGTGTTTGGAGTGAATAAGTTCAGACGTTTTTTGGAACACAAAGAGTTTTTGCTGGAAACAGACAACCAAGCGCTCTCGTGGCTCCTTGCACATCCTCGCCAGCTTGGGAAAATTGGTCGTTGGGTGGTCCAAATATCTTCCCTCAAATTCCAAGTGCAACATGTTCGAGGCACGCAGAATGTGATTGCTGACACTTTATCCAGGATGTACCATTCACCTGACGACCAACCTTCTGATCAGGAGGAGCACACAGGGTGTGCCGTGCTCCTGGAGTTTCCCCTCGCCTTTTCTGAGTTCATCCCACATCAGTTAAAAGATCCCGAGCTGGCTAAGATCATTGGTGAGCTTCAAAATGGGGGAGCCCACCCCCCGTATTTTCTGTCCCAGGGTGCCCTTTGTTGTCGAGACCGACAGCGGGGTAAATCCAAGGTTGTGCTGCCTAGTCTTCTTGTACCCATGGTCTTTGCGTACTTTCACTCTTCCCCTGTGGGTGGGCACTTAGGGATTCACAAGACCATTGCAAAGGTTAGGGACATGTTCATCTGGAAGGGTATGGACAGGGACATTGCGGCACGAGTACGTTCTTGTCAAACATGCTCGCTAAGCAAGCCTGCTCAGAATACCAAGTATGGGTTGTTGTCATCTGAGGTGGCGGAGAGACCTTTGGAGAAGGTTTTCATAGACTATGTAGGGCCTCTCCCACGTAGCAAGTCAGGAAACAAATTCTTGCTTGTTTGTGTGGATGCCTTCTCCAAGTTTTGTTGGCTTTTTCCTTTGAGGAACGCCACTGCACAGCTCACCGTGCAGGCACTTCGTACCCATTTGTTCCAACACTTTGGAATACCCGCCACCATTGTTTCCGACAACGGAACTCAGTTCGTGTCTCACCTTTTCAAAAGAATGTGCTTTGGGCACGGTATCCGCCATGTGACCACTTCTCCTTACTATCCACAGCCTTCCCATGCTGAGAGGTTCAACAGAAATCTTCGATCCGCTCTCATAGCTTTTCATGCTGACAAGCAGACCACCTGGGATCAGGAACTTCCTTGGATTCAATTTGCTTTCAATACTGCACACCATGAGAGTCACAAGGCGGTCCCTTTCGAGCTGTTGTTGGGCTATCCACCCAATAATCCCTTGGCAAATGTGTGGAAAATTGGCGACCTTCTGCCACCCCCTGGTGCGGCCAATGTCAAGGCAACTTGGCAGGCGGCTAGGAGGAACTTGATCAGAGCTAGGGAATTGGTACGGAGGAAGCACAATCGAGGTCGGTTGGACAATCCTTTCCAGGTGGGGGATTTGGTTTTCTGTAAGGCTCATCCGGTCAGTTCGGCCGTGGACAAGAGAGCCGCTAAGTTGTCTCATCGGTGGTCAGGTCCCCACCGCATCTTGAAGTTCTTGACTCCTGTCTCCGTGCGGCTGGGAGATCCGCAGACTGGAGAAGTTTTCCGGAGGGCTCACATTTCTCATCTGAAGCCTTTCCGGGGAACAATTCCGTAGGTCATCTTTCTTTACTCTTGTGTCTGAGTGGGAAGTGCACTGGGCCAGAGAGCTTGATCACCTCTTCTGTCCCTTGTGCGCTGCTGAAGATTTTTCCCTAGTCAATTTTCCAGCACTGGCCAGTGCAAACCCTGGGGGTGAGTAGTCCCTCCAGTTGAAAGACTTTTGGCGTTCCCCACTTCAGACACTTGAGTTGATCTGTGGTGTTGAGATCTTCTAGAATTGGGAGAGGTTGTTTTTCTTTTTTTTTTGGAGAGGAAGTCCTCCTTTGGGGGGGGAGGTTGAGCCGTGACATGCCCACCAAGCGTCCCACCAATGTCACGCCTCAGTGTTTTTTGTATAGTACGAGTACTGGCTTTGCGCCGGAACTCGTTCAGTTTGGGTCTGGCAGCAGTCCTGCAGACCCCGGGGCTATTTTTCCGCTGCCGAGCACATTTTCGGCAGAAGAACAGCGACTGTCATCGTTTCATGTCAAGTTTGGTGTTTGTAATGTTATATTTGCATCGGTTAACATCTAGTCACTTTTTACTGTGCTTCTTACAAACCTAATTCTTTTGACATGTAATTAAACGGTTTGCCAGACGTCAGATGAGGTCCCGGATGGGAGGGTTAGTTCTGCGGATGTCGTCCTCGGAGAGGGTCGCCTGGGGGAACTCTCCACCTTCCTCCTCCTTGGGCTGCCAACGGCCCTGTTTCTCCGGGGACCTTCAAGCAACCTTCCGCCCTTCTAACACCACCGCCTACCACCAGGAAGGACTATGAGTGTGCCAAAGCCGCAAGTGTTATTTGTTAAATATTACCTGAACCTTTATGAACATTTTCATGAGCTTTAAGAGAAATACCGCTATTTGAAGGGGCCCCAAAATCTATTATTCGTTATTTATTTTATAGTAGCCTAATTGTTATTTATTTAATTGTTGAATTTTTAAAAGTTTAAAACAAAATTTACAGTTTTTACCATCTTTTAATTTATTTATTGTTAGGCCTAATTTATTTGTTACTGGTACCAGTTCTTGTAAGTTTAGAAGGGTAAACCTAAAATCATCTTTTAAATTAAATTTTTGAGAAAGATTATTTAAAGAAATTCTTTGGATGGATGTTTTGTTATTTGTTGATTTTTTTGTAAATATATAGGCTTTGTTGACTACTGTTTGTTTATTCATATTCACCCACGGCCTTTCATTTTTGTTAGGGATGTGGGGCGGCCACTCGCACTGTCACTATGGGGGGCATGCTTCCAATAGTTGTTCGTCTGGGGGCGGTGCGAGGGGTCGGCTCAGTCCTATGTCACGATTTCGCTCGTCCGGGAAGGGTTAAGCTACGACAATGGTGCGTCTCAGAGCGAGACGTGGCGGCACTCAAAGGGTTACTAAACAATCAGTGAATTCGCTGTTGTAATTTTCTAAAGCAAAACTTTAACATTTTCATCAAAATATACATAATAGGCCGATATGGCCATGAACATGATTAGAAAATATATGACGGTAAGCTCTTTCAAATTCTAATGTTAAAGTTCTGGCAATATAAATCTCCACATTATCTTGCTAATTACGTTACAGTTAACATACTTACATCTGGATCTAACTCTGTCCCTTTCTCACTGTTGCTCTGTGCTGAAACCAACAAAAGAGTGATCATGCAAGATTTAAAAAATCACAACCTTACATATATACAGGGTGTTTTTTTTAAAAACTTGCATCTTTATTTATGTAAAAACCGCAATAGATAGAAATATGCAGTTTGCGGGAATCTTCTATTGACGTAGGGGGCCCAATTGTTTTGAATTCAACGTTTTCCTGGGTGAGGACCCACAGACCCCCCTTCTTTCTCGGGGCCCCATGATACAACCGCCACTAACCAGACCCCCCCCCCAAAAGTTTTTCCTGGCTACGGCCTTGTTGTTAATGATGTCTGCTAAATTTGTAGTTCATGACATACTTTAGTAAAGTAGCCTACATATTGCTGTATTAGTAATCACAGGTTTGAGAAATAGTGATGATATGATGTTTCATATTTGAAGCTCAACACGTGTTTTGTGGAAGTTAATAATGCTATAATAGTTTTTGGTTAGCTAGTGGTGGTGTTTCTAGTTTCATCAAAATTGTATATAATACGCAGTAAAATCTTAATTTAGGGCCTATGTATTTATGTAATAAGTAAAAGAAAAAGAGTTAAAATAACTACCTATTCAATGTTCTTTCATTTTTGATTCAGGAACATACATAAACATTGTTGAAAAATATCTATTGTAGGGTGTCAAACAATCACGTTGAACTATTTTTATAATTAATGAGCATTGTTGGTGTGATAAGAACTGTTTTTGTCATAATTTATCATTATCAATGCTTTTAAAATAACATGGTGTGGTGCTATCATTTATAATACCTTATCATACTTAAGTTTATAATACTAAAGTTTAAAAGGGAATATTTACACCGCGTACCGTACTGTAATAGATTACGTCCACTTACATGATAAATATGCAGAGTACTGATTTCCCAGCCTGGTCAGTTCCTTGAGACCTTCTTGTCTTTTCAACCATTTTCCATGATCAGCTTTGGCATCTCTCATGTAGTCCTGAAAAATAATCACACCAATGTACATTTAAGGGTTGTGTGTTTTGAATATTTATAACATTATGTAAATTGACTATTTAGGACACCAAGTCGCTCCCAGCACTGCCATGTGTATGTCGATTATCGATTGATTTTCCTCTTTCTCTCACTATTTTTTTTACATTGTTGAGAACCAAACAATTGTCAAGAATCAAGATAATTTTACGATTTTAGCGTTTTATATCCTTACTCATTAATACTAACTAGCCACTAATTGAGCAAATAAGCAGTCATCCAAACCCTTTTTTACCGATATTCACAGAGAATGACTGAATGCCTTCAAAACCCCTGTGGCTTTTCATATGAGACAAAGGCAGAACTCACTGCCAACAAAAAGATTATTCCATTACTGCTCTAAATAGACACAAAAGCTACTGAACCTAACAGCATGTACAGTTTCTTTTTATGACAGGTATAAATATAGAGTTCTTCTGACGAAATTTTGAATTACCGGTACTGCATGTTCCAAATCGGCCTGCTCTCTGCTCGGAGTTAGAAATACCGAGAGTATGCTTTTTGAAATGCATGGTCAAATTTTGAATTTTGAAATGTCAAGATCTTCCCTACTGACTGAACTTTTATTTTGAATTATCGGATACTAGCTGAGTACCCGTCCTTCGTACGGGGTTGGCATCGAGTATAAAATGCTTATTGCAGTTATTATACTCAAGCTTTGCGTCTGGAATGGGGCAGGACACAGTTTGGTACAATTTTATCTTTAAAATTACGGTATACTATAGTAATACACATCTACTACAGTTGAACCTCGTTTGTACGAACCTCGATAAAACGAATGCCTCGATAAGACGAATTTTTTTTAATCCCCTTGACACTTTCATATAGGTCAATGCTAAAAAACCTCTATACAACGTAGTAATTAAGTTAAAAACCCCCATAAGACGAATTTGTTTGTGACATGGGCTAGGACTGACTAACCTCTATACAACGAATATTCTTAGGACAAAACCTCTACAAGACGAACTTGACCTCTATAAGACGAATTTATCATAATCTTAACCTCCATAGTACGTAGTTTTCAAAACAAACAGAAGCTTGTCTCAACGTGAAACCCCCACCCATCCCTCCTCCTTCCTCAGCCATTGTTTGGAGAAACCTTGGAGCGAGGAGAAACCTCTATAAGAAGAATAACAGCAGCATTAAACCTCGATAAAACGACCCTCTTTATTAAGAATACCTCTATAGTACGAATTTTTCCCGTACCCCTTGAAATTCGTCTTATAGAGGTTCAACTGTATAGCCATAATGTTCTACCACTTATCCTAAACAATAGAGAAAATAAATTTTTAAAATTCACAAAATATCATCATAAATAATTCATGAAATTAAAAACATAAACACAATTGTAAACAATCCTACTTTGACAGTTCTCATTGCGTATCACAGTTTTTTGTTGCTGCTTAGATCAAATTAGCTGTTTTCATAAATGGGAAAAAATAATAGTGCTGCACCCTGTTGGTAAATCTTATAACTTTTTAATGCTTTCGCATATCATAGAAACAACTTTTTTAGTTGAAACAGCTGACTAAATTCTTTAATTCTCATTAAATTTGAATACTCATAAGGTTAACATGGGGAACTACAGAGCCACTGGGGCGGAGCCCGAAAGGATTTTTGAGAAAAGGATATGCCTATATGTTAATCGGGAATGTGAGCTATCATCATGCCAAATTTCAGCCAAATCCGTTCAGTAGTTAATGCGTGATTGAACTTCAAACAAACAAACAAACACACAAACTTTCACATTTATAATATTAGTAAGATTTTGATTTATCAAATGTTTTAACTATCAAGAGTAGACTGTACTTTTCTTTGTACAAATTTTTGTTTATATTTTGTGTTCAATAAAGTAATGGAATACATGAGGTTTAGTACCTTGATTAGTGGACAATTTTGATACAACCGGTTCGACATGTAACACACTAATTTTGTATGTTCTATTTAGTAGTATTACTATTCTTATGCATCTTGTGTTCACCTATTGTATTATTTAGTATTTATTATTGCTTGTTATCTCCCGTATGTAATGGTATTATTGTACAATGGCTTCTGCCGTGAATAAACTAATTGAATTGAATTGAATTGAATAATTGACATGTACCTTAGAACTTACACTTGTATCAACTTTGTCTTCTGTTGTTATGGGTTCAGCCTGTTTCTCTGGTTGTTCTTGAGAGTTAACAGTAGACTTATCAGTTGATGGATCAGTAGTGGACTTATCAGTTGATGGATCAGTAGTGGACTTATCAGTTGATGGATCAGCAGTAGTCCTATTAGTTGATGGATCAGCAGTAGACTTATCATTAGATGGATCAGCAGTGGTCTTGTCAGTCTCATGCTTACCAGGCACATCCTCTGAAAGTACGGGTACAGGAAGTGGAGAAGGTTGAACTGGCGTTTCAGGAGTATATGAGGAGGGAAGTGGCTTGAGGCTGGAGACGGCTGGTTGAACTGGGGGAAGTATCTGAGACTTAGGAGGCTCAAGACCATTAATGGCTGGTAGTGGCTGGTCATCTCCACTGTCCTCATCTGTTGATAGTCCCTCATCTTCCTCATCTTCACTCTGGTACGTCTAAACCAGAATCAAATGTTAAATTATTTGAAAAACATACAAAAAAAATTTTCTTAGTAAGAGACAACTACATTGATTTAAATAAAATGATTGTAAATATTAATAATTACTTTGAGAACAAAAGGGGTAGAAGATAACGTTTTACTTAATTTTTATTTTTACCAACAATTATCTATGTAAGTTAAACTAGAGAAAACTGCTAAAAGTTAAACTTGATATAAGTTTCATGTATGTTGTCAATGTGTAAATGTTGAGATTTTAACAATACAAATCTTTACATAACCTTGCTGTTTACGTTACAATAAACATACTTACATCTGAATCAAACTCCATCTCTCTCTCGCTGTTGCTTTGTACTGAAACCAAACAAACAAAACTGTTATTTGTTATTTCCATGATAAAATAGATTTAGGATCTAATAATAATTACCCTAGTAATAAATAAAGAAGTTGTAAAGGAATAAAAGAGATACAACTTTTATGAGCTAAGCTACTGAGTCAACGGTTCTTGGAAGTACTTGACTTGACACTTGATTGTCGTGATAAAATATTAATGTGTTTGAGACTGCTAATGGTTTTTTAATTGCATAATTATTTCTCTAGTAAATAAATTATGAAAATAAAAACAAATATCTGATAAACCTTTTATGTGCTCCTACAATAAAATTATTGCCCAATGGTGACTTGTTATGCCCTACTTAAAATGGTCCATAAAACTATTTAAGGACATAGTCTGACATTTAAGGACAATTCCATACATTTCATGGACGGTAAAAAATTAAGTACAATTCCCAGTTTTCCCGGATTTCCTGGTTGGTGGACAACCTGTAGTTACTTCCACCTCTACTTCTTACTCTTGATGATAAAGCATGTTGACAAGCTAATGGGAGAGAGTATGTGTCAGATTGCTGATACCGCTTATAACTGTAAGCTTGGTTTGTAGCCAAAGGTTAGACTTGTGTTAAGGTTGTTAAAGGTTGAGTGATATATCAGGAGTGGATTATTACAATGACAATATTAGTGTTCAGTCCAGTGATGGTGATGAAGGGTTGGGCCTAACAGTGGATGATGTTGGTATAACCTCAAAACCTGATTCCCCGGTGATTATATTTCACGTGATGACACAATAAATATTGATAGTACATGACGTATATGTAGGAAAAAAAATTCCTACAAAATGTATATAATGAGTTAACCCTCCGAGTGTCCTTAGTTTTAGCCTGTTTGCCTATTTTTTGCGCATTTGCAAGGTTTTATTAAAACGGATCTGAGAAGCTTAAAAACAATGTTAATTATACTGTTCTATATACCATTTTGTTTGGAAAATCATGGGCTTCAATATTATACATAAAACATAAGGAACATTTGTTTCAAACACATTTTTTAGGTAAACAAAATATTTTGGAAAATTTTCAAAAAAATAAGTTTGCGCTAAATGAAATTGTATAAATTATAGGCCTATAAATATTTGAAAATAGCCACTTTGTTCTAAATTTTATGAGGCATTTAGCTAAGAATGCATAGCCTAACCATAGCTAGGAATCTGGCTGATAATTTACATCAATATCACTACCTACTTCTTCAGGATCATCAACCAGCCCTTCAAAATCACTTAAATCTTCTTATAATGCACCACGTATATCACTACTTTTGATTTTTAACACTAAAACAATGATAAACGTAATAAAACACATCAGTCATCGGTGCAAGGTTAACCAAGCTGTTTACAAATACGCACGTCAGCTGTCTGCTACAATTATGATCGGCTCGAGAAAAAAGAGCGCTTAGAGACAGACCTTGGGAGAAAGCTTTGAATCTGCCAAATAAAACGATACCTAACTCGATCCAGTTCAATCCGATTTTGCCAGTCATAGAGCCTTCGCCGTAAACAGTGTTTGTGAGTCGAAAAATCGACACAAAACACTACACAAAGTGTGTTGTGTCGATTTTTCGACACATAACACTCGGAGGACACATAACTATTTTTTATGATAGTTTAGTTTGGAAATTTTGAATTTTTTACCAAAAACTTTTTTTATTATATATTATAAATTTATTTTGTAATTTTATTGTTCTGAACAAACATGTTATTCTGAACAAACTATATATATATTTAAGTATGTTTTCTTAGTTCTTAATTTTTAAAAATTTTGTAATAAAAGGTCTGAAAATTAGCAGAACAAACCCGGGCTGGGAAAAGTTGCATGACCTAGCTTACTCGGGAGTCAAGAGGTTAAGTTATTTGATCATCAATGCTAGTGAAAACAACATACAGTAGTTGGTATAGTGTTATCTTTTGGAAACCTTGTTAATAACTTAGTTATAAGTGAATATTTTAGGTACCATGTATGTAATAGCTTACATGATAAGTACGCAGTGTACTGATTTTTCAGCCTGTTTAGTTCCTTGAGACCGTTGGGATCTACGACGTTAGAGAGGCCTTGACTGAGACGTTTGAGAGCCAGTCTAGTCATACCTTTGCCATGATCAGCTTTGGCGGCTCTCATGTAGCCCTAGAAAATAATCAAACACACCAATCTGCTTTTTAAGGATCATGTGTAAAGAATATTTATACCAACATGCGTATTAACAATTAGAACACCTAGTCTCTACCAGCATTATCCCGCCATATGGATTTTATCTAAGTGATAATGCCACAACCCGTAGTTCTAGCCTGAATGTGAAAAACAAACCCGGGCTCGTGCCTAGCGTCCTAGGACAAAAAAAGTATCTCCTAGCTTTACCATCATTTGCATGTCTATTGATTCTCCTCTTTCTTCCACTATTTTTTTTTTCACCTCAAAAGTGAGAAGTGTCCTGTTTACTTTCTTTTACATACTCTCTTGAAGTAACTTTTTAGTGACCCAAAAAGAACGTGGGAGAATGGAATCTTTAAATTAGTTACACATTCAAAGCTGATTTTAGAGCTGCCGTAGCTTGAAATATTTTAGCAAAGCCTATATAAAATAAGCTATATTTGACTTATGAAAAAAACCATTTTTGTGATAACTTAAACACACTTGCCTGTGGAGACATACCCTGGAAAACAGTTTTATTAAGGTCATTTTAGATTTCTTAAATTCCCATCTTCTCAGTTCTTATAGATATTCTGAAACTGTTTTCTGTGTTTAAATTTTTACCTTAACTCTCCGTACAAGTATACGCCCAAACAAACTACAGTATGCTTATCTTAAAAACAAAAAATTACATGATTAATTACGGTAAAACCTAGCCTCTCATGGTGATGATCAAATAAAAATAGGCTGCTAAGTCTTTTTCAATAAAAGGGCAAATGAAAATGCCTGTTAACAAGAGTGACTTGTTATCAAAGGTCTTGTTATCGAGGCTCCACTGTGTAAATATGAAAGTCCATCATAGTTTTATTTATATTCCTTATGTAAGAAGAGCTTGTTAAAAACCATGGAATTGTCTCAAGGACTTCAAAGACATTTCTGAAAGTTGTCAACGCAAGCAATGTACACTATTGCTTGGATTTTATGTTTAATAGCATTTTGAGCGTGAAGGTACTTTTTCATTTAGGACCTACTTGTAAACCTTAGGGAGTTGAAAGTTTATCTATAAATAAATGTAAGTTAGGGGCCTACTTGGAATTATTTTATAGCTTGAGATTTGGAAACCTGCTAAATCCAAAACCACATAAATTTTGTTATAAGAGTAGAATGGTCATTAATGTAGGTACTGTTAAACAACCTGACAAAGTAAATAAGCTACTTTTAATAGTGCATCAGCATCATAATAAAATTACTATGAACTTACCTTGTAAAAATTTGGTCTCAAATGAATTGTAAATATTGCATGTTCTTCAGCCTCAATATACTTTTCAAGTTTGATATAAGCTGCAGATAAATTAGCATGAAGCTCTGGGTTATTTGGCTCATGCATCAAACCTATGAATAAATTGACAAATAGTAGACTTCAATTTAATTTGTACTGACAAAATATTTTGGCTAAATTAGTATATGTAGATCACAAGAACCATAAATAAATTGAGTGGTATTTTTCTAATAAAAGTTGTACTTACTTTCAAAGTACTAAGTAACCTAAGTAAGACTAATAAACCTATTTTATAGCATTAACTTTTTCATTACTAACCTTGGCTCAAAACCAAAACCAAAATTAATTCTATAAGCTCTGAAATTTCGTTTCTCAACCAATATAACAATCCAAACATGATTTGCAAAATGTTATAGATTATGGTCAATATACTGTGAACATTTGACATTTAAAACACCTTACTAACAAACTTAAAGTACCTAGCCTGTATAACTCTATAGATTTTATTTTCTCTAGGTAGGTCTACTGAGTAATATTCTTTGTACAATGACCTTTTTATTACTGGATATAGATTGTTTAGCTAGCAACCTAATACATTCCATGCTATATTCTTAATATGATGAAAGCACTTAAAACTCCATTTGTCTGACAATGCCACTTGTAACGTCAAACTGATGTCAATAAATAAAAGAGTAATAAAAGAGTATAGTGGCTAATACTTCACAAAAACAATTTTCTTTAAATTTAGATTTTAAATTATTATTAAGCTGAGTTAGCCTAATCGTTACAAGATTAAAAGTAGGCTAGCTACTGCTGCAACAACTATTTTGTATAGGCCTACTTAATTTTGGTTCCATAATCTTTTCTATAGGTACCTATGTAAAGTGGCTTTTTTTAACGAGAATTAAATGGACTTTCAAAGCAATTCAATGCCTTTTCACTCATTGGCAATAACATCATGTCATACAGTAATCGTTTATAGTTTCCAATAAAAAGGCCTGACTATTTTATTATTACAACTTTTATTAGTATTCCATAATTTTTGTATGTTTACTGATTAAGTTTTGTCATTATCAGAGTGAGTGACATACACATTGGGAGCCACATACTAACCCTTCCTCCACGAAAATGTATTTGTAGTAAATTTCTAAATTTCAGAGTTATAAATTAGAGATAATACTAGATAATACTTAGATAATACTATCTAGGAGGAAACACCTTCGATAAAACTCCCCCCCCCCCTCACCATAAAATTAACACAATACAGTAAACACAATAGGACTATGATTAATTAATTCAGTACCTACCTTTTTGATAATCCGCTATTGCTCCCTTGAAATTATTTTTGTTGTATTTTTCATTTCCTGAGGTTTTAAACTCTTGGGCCTTGGTATGCTGTTCATTGTCAACAGCGTTATTAGGTTCATCTGGTTGTACCTCCATATTAATATTGTTTTATTACCTACCTGCAAAAACAAAAGTTTAGTTGTGATCCTAAAAAGCCAACAACTGTAAGCATCATGGACCTTAGGACTGATTGTGAATAAATAAAGCCTTATTTCCCATGATTATATCATAATATTGAAACGTCTCCCACGGTCTCCTCGGAAAAAGTATTATTGTCTCCTGCGATCATGGCAAAATATTAAACATCTGCTGCAGTCACAGTCACAGGGTGATAACCTTCCTCCGTGATTGTCTATGTCAAATCACGTATATCCATATATCTACATATATACATATATCCAATCTATATGTCAAATGTTGTTATTCTTTAAATTAATATTAATTTTATAATTGTTGAGATCATGTATTTACAAGGGTCGTCTCAAAAGTAAGTTACACCTATTTCCAAAGTAAATAAAAAAGCCAAATTTGATTTGAAAAGGGTATAAGTTATTTTAAAAGATACATACATAGACTATTTTTCTACGTAGTCGCCATCTTTTTCAAGGCATTTTTGATAACGTGGCAACAGTTTTTTTAAGTCCAGCATCATACCACTCTGCCGCCATTTTGGTTAGCCATTGTTCCACCTCCCGTTTCAGTGTCTTCGTTTTCAAAGCGCTTCCCGCCTAAATGCCGCTTCAACTCCGGGAAGAGATGAAAATCACTCGGAGCCAAGTCAGGAGAGTAGGCTAAGGTGGATGGCCGAAAACATCCCATCGGAAGGATTCCAGAAGGTCTTGTGTTTGACGGGCGGTGTGTGGGCGAGCATTGTCGTGAAACAAAAACACTGTTTTGGTCAACTTTCCCCTCCTATTGTTCTGTATCGCCCTTCTCAGCTTACGTAGCACTTCACAATAACGTTCAGCTGTGTTTGTTTCCCCCCCTTGGCAGGTAATCAATCAACAATGCTCCCTTAGAGTCCCAAAAGACCGTTGCCATGACCTTGCCAGCTGATTCGACGACTTTTGCCTTTTTTGGAGTAGGCTCGTCCTTTCTCTTCCACACCATGCTCTGCCGCTTGCTTTCGGGCGTACAAATGTGCACCCAAGTCTCGTCCCCGGTTACTATCCTGTTGAATAGGCCATCTCCCTCATCATCAAAAAATTGTTGGAACTGGAGAGCAGCATCAACCCTCTGCTCCTTATGCCTTTCTGAAAGGAGGCGTGGCACCCATCTTGCACAGACTTTTGACAAACTGAGATCGTTCAAAATGATTCTGTGAAGCGACGCACGACTAATTTCAACATTTGGAGGAAGCTGTGTAATGATTTCATCCCATGTCAAGCGCCGGTCGGTGTCAATGACCTTGCGGACATCTTCAACAACAGTCGAAGCGCGGGAAGTGGACGGGCGGCCATTTCGTTGTTCATCGTGTAACGATTTTCGTCCATCAATAAACGATTGACGCCAGTGGGAAACCATTGGCCTAGACATCACATTTTCACCATAAACACTGCACAATTCTCGATGAATTTCACTTGCATTTTTATTCTTTGCAGTCAAAAATCTAATTACTGCACGGATTTCACAATCGGCGGTGGGAACAAATGGTGTCTCCATGATGGCCGGAGCGATACTGGAGGGGCGAGTGCCGTAGGCGGCCGCGATGTTTACAGTGTTGCCACTACATCCAGACGAAAATTATCCGCGACTCCCAGCTTTCTAGCGCTCGACGCTGTTATTTAAAACAAATGTGTAACTTACTTTTGAGACGACCCTCGTACTATAGAGTTGTTTTTGTATTGCATTAGGGCCTAGTTCATAAAATTTTTTCCCAAACTAAAGATTGTTAATACCGTAGGCCTACATTTTAAAACTTCATTATTCCACACAATAAATGTCAGTCAAACAAATCATTTGGCCGTTTGCTGATCGGATAATTCAACTTATTCAATGTTCCGACAATGGTCCCAGTCCCATAAGTTATGTGACAGATAAGAATACAAATATTTTAACAAAGAGGAAACTCCTGTGAAGGGTATTACAATTTACGAAGAGTTAAGGTTGTGGAAGCTTAAACTAGGTATTATAAAAGAGCCCCATACACGGTCAAAACTATTTAACGTGTATGGGCTATATTGAAGGCAAAAATAAGATTGTGCAATATATTGACTAGGTAGGGCCTACAATAGTTTGAAAATTAAGTATTAGGTCTACACAATCTTACAAAAATATTGAACTGTGTACGGGTGTTATTGGGCAATATCCTGTCAGTCTGCCAGTTTATCTACTCGGTGTACGCCAATTTTGTACACCTAGGCTAGGTATATTGAACAAATTAACTAATATAGTGACAATGTATGGGGCCATTACAGGCTAGGTAACTAGACCTAGCTTAGTATGCAGTCTTGTTCAAAGCATATCCTACCTAGGTCTAATCTAACGGACGTGTATCCTCTGTGTAGTAATTAATTTGCAAATGTACTTCCCAGGCTTAGGCCGAGGCGTTTGTAGTGTGGATCATTAAGTATGTTTGGTAACCTAGCAGAATCAAAATAGGTTAGGCCTATATATATAAATAAGGCCTATGTCAGCTTAGCTCAAGCATATTTCCTTTTAAGTTTAAAACTTAAATTGTATAATAGTGATAGGCTTGTCTTAAAACTAGGCTAGGCCTAGGACTAGCATTCACTTAATAAGATTTAAGCAATTAGCCAATTCATAAGATTTGGACCAATTGATTCTACTTGTAAATGCATGTAATTTAAAAATATATAACTTATATAGCCTAGGCCTATGTATTTGTATGTAGCCTAATGTTTTTTTTTTTTTAAGTGAGATTAAGTCATCATTTTATACCATTGTAAATTGGTTCTAGACCACTGGAAGTTAAAATAAATAAATAGCCTATTTCCTAAGACGTACCTAACTTAAGTGAACAGTTTTTGTTTTGTGAAAATGTTTGTTTCAGTTCAATTTTCATAAAATAGCTTACTTACCACATTTTTACTAAGTGGACCTAACTTGGACAAAGAGTTTATCTTCTTGATAGATAACCTATGTTAGTCACCACCAAGACAAAGTTAAGTCAAATGTTTGCGATTTGATTTGCAGTTGCACTTTACTTGCATTGGTTTGATTTCCTGCTTGTGAGTTAGAAAACTGTAAAACTGAAAGAATTTTTTTTATAACCTAACCTAAGATTGACAGATTACAGAGTTGCAGTTTGAGTTTGCAGATCGCTAAATTGCTATTGGATAGGATCTGTTCTGTTTTGCACCAGCAGTCAAGCAAAGCGCCAGATACTTTTTTTCTTGATTGGTAGGTAGGTTTAAATATGTTGACCAAGCAGCTTTGAAGTTGAAGTACACTTAGGAGCGATTGCCATCGTCGTATCCTATTCATTCAAGCTGCAATTTAAGTTTTTTCTTTATTTAGTTTACACCTTATGTAGAAGACAAGGCGATACGTCTTGTGTAGAAGCACGGCCGCCTTTTTTAACTACAGGCCGCGGCCTGGAGTTAAAGGCGGCCATGGTAGAAGCATAGATAAAACATAGAGGAGTATGTTTTATCTATGGTAGAAGACACCCATCACGCGTACTAGTTCCTTGGGACCAAGCTTTGCTTGGAGATGAAATAAAGAAATATTATACCCTGAGAGCAGTGATACAGTTATTTTGTGTATTACTATAAATAATAAATTAGTAATTAAAACACTATACACGTTTTAGGTTAGGTATGATACTTTAAACTGCGTTGGTTATTCTATTGGTTAAATCCAAAAGGTTTTTCATATATCCAACTAAAGGACCATAAAAGTACTGTCTATAATTCTGATGCCAGAGGAGGATCGAAATATGCGACCTTAACAAATAATCTAGATCTGAACACATGGATGTGTTAATGTTGAATTTACTGTACAACCACTCATTGGAGTTTTGTTATTCGAGGTTCAATAAATTAAAGAATAAGAGAGTAGTATGTCATAAACTGGGCAAGCGTGAACTTTAACTTTCCACCAGTTCCTATAAAAAGTTCAATTTAGGCTGGGTATACAAGTTTAGAGTTTCTTATGCTTCATAGAAATAGGAGATTCCAAGGTACAGGACATAGGGCAGGGCTTAGGGTTAATAGTGCACCCTATGGGGTGCAATCAGCTTTGCCACTCCCGCCTGCCGGCCTGCCCCCTCCCATCATTCGACAGGGTAATTCTAGGGCTCTTCACTGTAACGGGTTTGAAATTGAGTGCAAATTTAAAAACGTACGTTTTCAGAAAAAGCACTTTGCAAATTTTTTTCCCCTTTTTTCAAAACTTTTATTATTTTTTTTATTTCATTAACATTTGAAGTTTCATAAAATGTCCATGGTAACGCAATATCTTTGGTAGTTATTTTTTAAAAGAGCATCTTTAGTGGAAAAACACAAAAGCCTGTCACGACCATAACGGACGTTTAAATGAATATTAAAAATGGTTAATATTATTTTTATAACTATGTTTTGCTATAAACTAATTTACTTTTATGACCATTATACAATAAAAAGGTCACTAAGCTTTTAGTATATTTGGTCTTTCCAGAAAAAAATAAAAAAACTCAAAAAATTGAAATAAAGCCAATAAAATCTTTTTAAGTTTGTATAACTACGAAACAACTTACCTGAGACCCGAAAAATCGTTATGTTTGTATAGAGGTGTGCTTCTTTTGTGTATAAAACATTGAAATATGACGATATTTTAATTTTTGAAATTGTTATGATAGAAATCATAAACGTGATGGTCAGGGACAAGCGGTACGGTCGTGAATTGTCTGGGATAATTTAAATCTTTCTAGGCAATCCTTCAATTATACTGTTAGTTATAATAAAAATATGTGTTTCAATTGAACTAAACTGTTCAATTCACAATTATATTAAAGTTATTGTCACGACCAAACACACTATAATCCATAAGACTGGATTGGTCGTGAAAAAACCCGCGATGGTCGTGAAACTTTGGTCGTGAAATTACGTGTTATTTGGCTCTGTTCTGGCGGTAGCCCTGCACCTCATGTTCGAGGATACAAAGTGGACTTCTAGGTTAATCTAGCAATTGAAATATCTTATAAACAAAAATTAACACCATGTCTACTTCATCGAATGACTACGTACGGTCATGGACACACCAAAATTACAAAAAACACAATCTTTCCTTTATTAATCTTGTAATTCCTTCTTTCAACTCGAAACGACCGGCACTACAATCCTGACGTACACCCCGAACTAGTCTCTCAAACCAACTGACTCCATCGACGCCAGGCTTGCCACTGTCGGGCTCCAAAGTTGAAAATTTTTCCCAAATGGTCGTGACGCCAAATCGAGGGACAGACTTATTTTGTCATGGTAGTCAGTTTGCAATGACAATAAAATTATAATATGCTCCTTTTTTGTAAGTTTAATAACCATTGATGACATAAAAATATGGCTTTATATATTTCGGCATGAATAATTAGTCTAAAAACAGCGTGAAAGTTGGAAAATGTACCCTAGGGACACGTCATGGTCGTGAATTTTGAGACTTTAAAAATACGAAAAAAATACCTAGAACCTATTTAAAACCAAATAAATGTGTGTAACGTGTTGCCCCCGTCCCAAAAAATATTAAAACACATAATAATAAACTACAAATCCAGTATCTACGAAGTAAAAGGCCAGGGACATGAAAACGTACGTTTTTAAATTTTCACTCAATTATCTATATATTTAATAGGCGAACACACATTTTGTGATAATTGTGTTGAAGCTGCTACACATCTAATCACCATGATTAATGTGTCGTTGGAGGTCGTGGAACGTAGATTTGCCATCAAACAAAACATTTTTGAAATTCCATCAGGGCTCTGCCCCAGTGACCTTCAAAGTTCCCGTGTTATTTCTTAGTACCTGGGGACCAAGCTTTGCTCGGGTAAAATCATTAGTTTACTCTGAAAGCAGTTTAGTATTGCAGATAGATACATTAATCCACTCCCAAAGTCCACACTGCTCACCTTACTACTTCCTTCACCACTCCCTACGTGTGGACCTGTTTGCCCTCCTTCCCTATACCATTTTAGAATTGCAGATACATAAATGCCACAGACAGTTCCCACACTCTGCACTGCTAGCATTACTTCCTTCACCGCAGTTCCTACGTCGCGGACCTGTTTCCTCCCTTCCAACGGCATTTTAGGATTGCAGATATCCTAATCTAATCGTCAACAGTTCCCACACTCCGGACTGCTTGCCTTTACTACTCCCTTCACCCCTTTCTACGTCCCGGACCTGTTTCCCTCCCTTCCCATAGCATTTTAGCATCGTAAATCTAATCGTCATAAACAGTTCCCACACTCCAGACTGCTCGCATTTACTACTTCCTTCACCACTTCCTACGTCGCGGACCTGTTTCCCTCCCTTCTCATAGCATTTTAGGATTGTAGATACCTTAATCTAATCCCCATTAACAGTTCCCACGCACTCCGGACTGAGTCAACAACTGAGAGTACAGCCACGGCCAAGGGGGCCGTGGTACAGCAGTGTCACACTATTTGTTATGAGTTTTGAGATCTTTGTTTTACTGAAACTAAATAACAGGATATGAGTGGAGAATATCAAATTTGAAAGAACAATAATTTATTCATTCAACCTGCTAACCGAATTCAGGTTAACCGAACCCGGGTTAACTGAAATGGTTCTATAAAATAATATAGATATAGGGCTGTGAGATGTTTTTATATCTCCAGTTGTCTGGTTTAAAGTATTTTCTATCCCATCGTAACATTTTTTTAGCTGAAATAAAACACTGAATTATATATAGATATTCTCTTAAATTCATTTTCCTAGAAACTGTGAGGATACATATTGGCTATTTTTAGCATATGATGGGTTAACAGAAATATTGGTTATCCAAAAAAACGGCTCTCCCCGCTATTTCGGTTAACCGGGGTTCTACTGTATCAATTTTATGTATTAAGGGATGGCACCTCTGCTTTATACCTATCATAAAGCATTTATGCTTTATGATAAGATTTATTGCTATTATTATTTATTATTGCTTATTTATTTTGCATTTATTGCTTTATGCCTATGATTATTTATGATAGGTGCACAAGAATAAATTATCAGAAGCTATTCCCAGAAGGCATTATTAAGGGTTGTTTTAAGCATATTTTCATCTCCGAAAGAATGTTTGATTATATCCGAAGGTAGGATGGGTGGGTCCCAAAAATTCTGGAAAACACCATTGTTGAGTTAAACAGGAATCTTGACTTTTCGTCAGCTTTGATTAAGGAGTGGCTAAAGTTAAAGGAAGGATACTTTTGAAAAACATGTTGGAGGAAATGTGCAAAAAATGAAAGGAGTCTTTGCAAAATTAGCAGGACAAACCAGACAGCCAGAGCCAATAGAGGTATGACTGGGAAGCATTTGATAATGCTGTACAAAGGGTGTTGAGCCAGCAACGCCTTACGGATGCGAGCTATGGGGTAAAGGATGCTAAGAAGACCCTAGTAGCACAAATATGTATTTTATAAATATTTTATATATTTAAAGTTGTATTTGATAGAACCTCGAATAAAATATATATATAATATATCTTTAATAATAGTTTGATATATTCAAATATATATCTTAAATATTACAAAAAAGCAATGCAAAATATGAATTAAATATAAGTTTTGAATATATAAAATAGATTCATAATATCTATTGATAAAACAAGTATAGAATCTATAATATACATATTTTATATGTATATTTTTCCTATTAAATATTTAAAAAAATTGTGTGTTAAGAATATTTTAAATATATATATATAAAATATTTTTGAAACTATATTATATATTAAAATTATTTATAAATATATTTTGAAACACGTCAGATATTTTTATTAATAAAATAATATTATATTTGTAGAATATATAGCCTATAATCTTTTATAATTAGCAAATAAATAATTTGCATCTTTTTGTTTTTTATAGTGTCTATCAATTTATACATGCATTTTTTGTATGATAATTGCTATTGTGAAAGTGTTAAAATTAAGTTAATAATAATACGTACTCTGTATGGTGTCACTCTATCATACACGTAAAGAAAAAAATAGCATATAGTTAAGAGGCAGTATACATGTTTGACAGCTACATTTGGGTCAAACGAAAAAAAGTGTTGATGGGTTTTATTTTTTTAAATTGCAATATGTGCCAATGAATGTGATCATAGAAATCTCGAATGATTGGCTAGAAAAGGGTGCTAGTGACTGGCGACCTTTTAAGAAACTAATTACGGTTGTATATGACGTTCTAAAAATAATTATTTGAGTTACATATGCCATAAATTACATAATATCTGTCATAGTATTCAAATTATTAATTTTTGTAGTTTACTGTATTTGTATTCGTGGAGACTAATCACTACAGCACTATTCAACTCAACTACTTGATGCCAAAACAGATTAACAGAATCATATTATACTGTAGTATCAAAAATATTTCAAGTGTTGCAACCATTGCAACTGAGGGCCACTCTTTCACCACTTGAAAACTAATGCTAACAATAGTCACAAGTAGCTCAGAGGTAAGGTAGGAGGCTCATAAGTCGAAGGACCCAGGTTCGAGACCCACCCGCGTTGAAAAAATTTTATCCAGTAATTTTTTCAAAATTTGTTTTTATGAACTATTTAATCAATTTACTCAACTGATAATTGTGTTTTTCATACTAAATCTTTATTATTTTGTGTTTTTATGTTTAGGCCCCATGGGATGTTTGGAAGAGATATTAAATACATTTTTTATTTAAATATTATTCACTAAAATATATTATTGGAACATATTTTTTTAATATTTAATAGATTCAAAAACATATGTTTTATATATTTAATATATTTTAAATATTATATAAAATTGACATTAATACACACTTGAGATATATAAAATAGATTTTAAATATATTTATTCATATGTATTTAATATATATTTGTGCTACTAGGGGATGAGATTGAAAAGGAAACTTTTGAGTATGCACAGAAGAATTTCGTTGTAAGTTGGGAAATTGTACAACCCAGTGTCACATATTAGATGAGTGGCAAATGCGCTGCGAGCAGATGAGAAAGAAGGGAATATATGTTCAGATATTTGCCAAACATCAAAGAAGACTGGAACAAGATCGGGAGATTATTGAAATTATTGGTGAAATAATTGGGTGATTATTGGTGCATTATTGAATGCGCCAGGTTTGCTAGTTTATCAAAATGATACATGATAGGTGTATTAAATGATACATGTATTTAATATTCTAAAATAATATCTTATACTTTAAACAATTGTTTTAATGCTATTTTGAGTTTAAAATATTGATGGAAAGTTTTATATTTTTACTAGTAGTTACCCGGCGCGCGTTTCTGCGCTTAACAACTATTATTTTAAATGGTAGTTTGTTCTTTACGATAAAAGTCTATACCAAAAATAAAAATAGATTATTTTACTTAATTGTCTGTGGATAAACAATGTTTTATTGTTTTTTCATTAGGTGTATAAATATATAAGTTTTTAGTCGTACCGACCACCACATGAGCACGCAACATACAGCTGTCCGTGTGAAAAGCATGCATTTTATAAATGTACAACGACGATAGTCAGGGCGCGGATTACCCTAGTGCCTTATAATGGTGATTGCGAAAGCAAGACACAAAGGAAATTTTAGTTGCTTAAATTCAGAGGTAATTCGGATGAAATCATCAGTATTCTTAGGATTAAGATTATTTCTCCTTTAAACTTTGGTGTAATTTTTTAATTCGTCAGTCTGGTAACGTTGCACAGCTTCGGTGGATTTATGTTTTTCATTAGTATTATTGGAGTTCCTTCTTTTAATGACATTAATGTGGTGGAAGAAGCATACATGGGCCTGGCAGGACAAGCTGTCCACACAGGATAGCCAAACCAGGTCAGCCTTTTTACCATTGTTCAGTGCAATGGCTATATCTTCTTTTAATCCAATGCATGACCTCTCTTCATTGTGAAATAACAAACAGGTGCTTCAATGTATATAGCTTTTTTTTAATTCATATGGTTAAATCATTCCCTCAAATATGTAAATTACTGATCACAGAATTTTTTTTTAAATTCCTATTTGGAAATCTATCTGATAAAATTAAGTGTTACAATAATAATGGCTATAAATATCTCCATAATAACTTATTTTTTGTTCAAATATCATTTGATAGCTCAAAACTTACCTTTCCCTCTGAGCAATAAATAAGTATAGTCCTAAATATTTACCATTAAACTTGTATCAGCACTCAGCTACTTTGTGATTAGTGAGTATTTACAAGATGATAAACAAGCAGCAGAGCCTATAATTGGTATAAAGGTCAAATGTCAGTAGCCAGCAACTGGTTAGTTGATTGCATTTGTATTATGTTCTCATACCGGTATTTCAAACCCATTCAGACAAAGTGTAGACCTTCTGCAAGTAAAACTGTTAGAACATTCTGTAAAAAAGCTGTAAGTGAACCGAAGAAGCAATATGATGTGATCATCATAGGTGGAGGTTGGTCTGTTGGATTAATATCTGTCCTTATGCCTATGAAATGTATAGTTTTTCATTTTTATCTTGAACTAGGATGTTTTTAAGGTAGCATTTTTAAGAACATAATTCAGATTATTTTTAAGAAAAAGATTTCTAAGCATGTCTGAATGATTGACTTTAGATTCTACTGAACAGTATCCATGATTAACAATTCCTGCAGGTTATAACTTTCTTGCAGAATCATGAAGGACTTTAAATCTAAAATGCTGTAGTGTTTGCTAGTTTATGGAAATATTTTGATCACACTTGGCAAATTTATTGATTTTGTACTAAGCTATAATTATTTTACTTAAAACACACTTTTTTAGTTTCCTTGAAGCAGCAAACCTAGGTACTCGTTAAACCTAATGTTATGAAAATAGATTAATTGAAAATCATTTCAGGCAAATAGAAATTCGATTAGATGGCAGGTTTGCTGCGGCGGGGGTATTTGAATTTAAGATTACAGTACTTCAATTTAAGACGTATTTCATTAGTTATAATTATAATCCCATATGTTTTGGTCTAAGAACCCTCAGTGAAATACCCGCTTTCTTTTAAGCTATTAGTTATTCAAATCGGGCGTGTTTCAAGCAAACCAAAGTGAACAACCAACATAAAAATTATTTTTCAAAACATATACATATATATATATATTTTAAATACATACTTTTACATAACTCATACTGTGATCATGGCCTTAAAGTGCCGAAACACGTATCAGTTTAAATAAAAATGAATTTCAGGGTACTCTGGTTTTTATTATTTTGCTTATTAATATATATATATATATATATTGTAAAGAAAAAAAGAGAAAATTCTTCACTTATATTCAAAATATACTCTTTACTTAATTGATCATTCCATCAAATAAAATCACCTCACACCTTTATGTAATGCAATTTGGCTATTCCATACAGGTGTGAGTATAACAAAAAGTTGCCCCCTGGTGGGGTTTTAATGAATTTAATTTACACTTTTAATTGAACTACTGAGGACATTACAATCACAGAGCTGCGCAGTGGAAATAAAGATGTTAAGTGTGGGCCCTGTAATTAAATATCCCAGAAGTCCGATTTATGGACCGTGAGAGGTCTGATATGTTGTCCTCCTTCACACCTTCTTCAGCTTAATTCTAACAGTTCTTAAAACTAATAGACGTGTCTATTTGAACACTCCATGAATTTAAATGTGCTGTTCTGATGAAAGATTGTGGTATGAATTGATACTCTGTAAAACTGTAAAATTGCAAATAATAATATTGAAATATTGATTGAAAATATTTGTGAAACTGTTTGTTCAGGAAATATTTATCAAAAGTATGACTTCAAAATGTTTATATATACTGGATTCGGTTAAGCCGATTGCTCATGAATTCACCAATTTAACATTCATTATGAACTGAGCTTATAAAAATTGCACTGTCAAAATATATTTACAAAATGTGATCATCAACACTCATTGTGAATACTTTGTATACCTCTTTCAGTTAAGCCATTTACCTCTTTACTTTACCAGTTTATACTAATGATACTAACAGCTGAAACACAGGATAATGAAAAGATGGTGATTTGTAAAAATACTGTATAATGAGTCGAATTGAGCTGTGATACAAGTTACAAATATAAACAATGTAATAACCTTTTTTTGAGCACAATTTAACAATATTTTGAAAAAGAGAGTGAGAGAGTTGATTGTAAGATTGAATGTTCAAATTGGCGGTTTGTTCATTTTTTAAAACTGCAAAGTCTCGGGAAAACCTAGCCTTGATGATTTTATTTATTTGTTTTGGATCACCAGACTCCCCAAAGATGTTCGTAATTATCAAACTGGCCAGTTTACAATTTAATCAAACAGGGACTATTATGTAGGTTTGTGATCTACATCACTCCTTGCTGATCAGTGCAACGGGGCCAATCGACTGCTGAGTCGATTATTTGATAATTTTTTATTTAGTATTTAATATTTATGAATTTAATGGGAGTCTATCCTCATGACCCTTTATCAACCCTAGCCTTCGACCGAGCACTCTGTTACCCCCATTTACGTTACACAATCAAACTCTCACTATTAAAAAATGTAATACTGTTCAAAAATTATTCTACACATGAAATTCAAACGTTTTAAATAATAATACTGACGATGATAGAATCTGACTTTACATAGAATACAAAAATAATAATATCACAGATAAACATTGCTCTTTAAATTAATATACCATTTCAATTCAATTTAATAAATAATTTTCATTTGACTAGGTTCACTATTATAACTTAAATTCTTTGTATGACATGACCAAATTTAATAAAACATTTTATCCTGAATCGTGACCATGTGCTCTAAGTAGACCAAATGAAACATGAAAATCTCAGACCAAACAAAACATGATTCATAACTTGTAAAACGAGTGGTACATGTGAAAAAATGTGGCAGATTGGCAAGACTATTTTAATACTAAAACACAAATAACACAAACATTTACTTACGTACACATGTCGACACATTAACATTCATTCCGACGAAGATTCACGCGTACCGAACATTTAAAAACTGACTCGTGGTAATTTTGACTTTTTGTCTGACCGAGCGGAATATCACGACACGGTTTTTTCTGGTGTAGGACTTATTAATTCTTGTTTTTTCGAGCTGGCGTTAAATGATTCAATTGAAAATACCTTCACGACGACCCGCTATTCGCTAGAAACTGACATTTGCTATCGATATGATGCATGTACGAATTTTCATCACGAACGCGAACAATCAATCCGGCATCTCAACTGTCTCGACTTAATACTAATAAAACACACCCCCAAATGCAATTCGGCGAAATTTTGACAATTGCGATCGTTTGATGCACGTACAATTTCCGCCCGAACGCTAATTTCCGAGCTACGAATTAAGATATTAATAAATTCGTCCTACACCAGCGACAAAACGCGACTTCACATGTTGACTACGCGATTACTGAGCCACGAGTGACGAGGACGACGAGACGCTTTGCAGACGACGCGGTTCCCCGGTCTTCGTATCCTTCCGCGTTACGTCATGTTTGACTGACTTGTCCATTGCCTGTCGCGGATTTTAAATCTTTTGATTTGAAAATCGGCACAGAAATCTCCCCTGCCAAAAAAATTGGCCCGAGCGACCTTCAGGTCCGCACGAAGGCCTTTTCCATCCCGGGACAATTTCGATCCGGCGCGACGACGCTTGACGTGGCAACAGACGCTTCATTCATACGACACATTTTTTGTTCATTTTTTCCATTGATTTACATTTAATACATTTAACACGAAACAATTTTACACATAAACATTTGAAATTTGAATAACAAAAATAGAAAATCTGAAACTTTAACAATAATAAACATTTTGCTTTGAGGTCGGTACTGAGAAATTAAAAATTGTTGTCAACTTACACCTTGTGTCATAAACCAAAACTGCATCAATCCATCAACAATTTGAATGGTGTAAACGCGCACGCTTAACACACTGTAGAATTATCTAGCATTCAGCGTTGAGTAGATGTCAACAATCAGTTCATTGACCCGTAGCGCAGTCGACAGTCAGCTGTTGCCGATGGAGTGGGCGGGGGCGGGGGACATTGTTGTGGTGAACGGCCCGATGTCTGCCTGTCTGTGCGGGTAGGTTCTACTCTCGCCCCACCACAGCTGGAACGTGACCTCTGTTGGCCAGCCTTCATGTCGCTCACAGTGGTTACATAACATGACTCAGATGATTCATTGTCTCTCAAAATATGTAATTATGAAAATGTTTAAAACAATTGACCTCAGTTTGACTCTATTTACTCAAAATTGAAAACTATTGCACATGTAAATATAAATATAAATATAAATAATCTCTGTACGAATATGACACAAATAAATAAACAAGTAAACAAACACAGAAATATCAATGTGGATCAATTGGATAATTGCCTTAGAGATAACAACTGATACCCTTATCAATGCCAACCTGCCTTGGTAGTAATGCCAATCTGCTTCCTTGTTACCAGACCTCTCAAATTAGTGCTATCACTTTTTGTAAAGAAAAATAAGAGTTCTTTACTATATTAAAAATATACTCTATACTTAACTGATCATTCCATCAATCAAAATCACCTCACACCTTTATGTAATGCAATTTGGCTATTCCATACAGGTGTGAGTATAACAAAAAGTTGCCCCCTGGTGGGGTTTTAATGAATTTAATTTACACTTTTAATTGAACTACTGAGGACATTACAATCACAGAGCTGCGCAGTGGAAATAAAGATGTTAAGTGTGGGCCCTGTAATTAAATATCCCAGAAGTCCGATTTATGGACCGTGAGAGGTCTGATATGTTGTCCTCCTTCACACCTTCTTCAGCTTAATTCTAACACTTCTTAAAACTAATAGATGTGTCTATTTGAACACTCCATGAATTAAAATGTGCTGTTCTGATGAAAGATTGTGATATGAATTGATACTCTGTAAAACTGTAATACTGCAAATAATAACATATTAAAATATTGATTGAAAATATTTATGAAACTGTTTGTTCAGAAACTATTTATCAAAGTATGACTTCAAGATGTTTGTATACACTGGATTTCGGTTAAGCCGATTATTCATGAATTCACCAACTTGATATTAAAAAATGTGATCATCAACACTCATTGTGTATACTTTGTATACTTCTTCAGTTAAACCAATACTCTTAAATTTACCAGTATAATATTAATAATATAATATAAAACACAGGATAATGATAAGATGATGATTTGTAAAAATACTGTATAATGAATCAGAATTACGAGCTGTGATACAAATAATGAATATAAACAATGTAATAAACTCTATGCACAATTTAACAATATTTTGAAAAAGAGAGTGAGAGAGTTGATTGTAAGATTGAATGTTCAAATTGGCGGTTTGTTCATTTTTTAAAACTGCAAAGTCTCGGGAAAACCTAGCCTTGATGATTTTATTTATTTGTTTTGGATCACCAGACTCCCCAAAGATGTTCGTAATTATCAAACTGGCCAGTTTACAATTTAATCAAACAGGGACTATTATGTAGGTTTGTGATCTACATCACTCCTTGCTGATCAGTGCAACGGGGCCAATCGACTGCTGAGTCGATTATTTGATAATTTTTTTTATTTAGTATTTAATATTTATGAATTTAATGGGAGTCTATCCTCATGACCCTTTGTCAACCCTAGCCTTCGACCGAGCACTCTGTTACCCCCATTTACGTTACACAATCAAACTCTCACTATTAAAAAATGTAATACTGTTCAAAAATTATTCTACACATGAAATTCAAACGTTTTAAATAATAATACTGATGATGATAGAATCTGACTTTACATAGAATACAAAAATAATAATATCACAGATAAACATTGCTCTTTAAATTAATATACCATTTCAATTCAATTTAATAAATAATTTTCATTTGACTAGGTTCACTATTATAACTTAAATTCTTTGTATGACATGACCAAATTTAATAAAACATTTTATCCTGAATCGTGACCATGTGCTCTAAGTAGACCAAATGAAACATGAAAATCTCAGACCAAACAAAACATGATTCATAACTTGTAAAACGAGTGGTACATGTGAAAAAATGTGGCAGATTGGCAAGACTATTTTAATACTAAAACACAAATAACACAAACATTTACTTACGTACACATGTCGACACATTAACATTCATTCCGACGAAGATTCACGCGTACCGAACATTTAAAAACTGACTCGTGGTAATTTTGACTTTTTGTCTGACCGAGCGGAATATCACGACACGGTTTTTTCTGGTGTAGGACTTATTAATTCTTGTTTTTTCGAGCTGGCGTTAAATGATTCAATTGAAAATACCTTCACGACGACCCGCTATTCGCTAGAAACTGACATTTGCTATCGATATGATGCATGTACGAATTTTCATCACGAACGCGAACAATCAATCCGGCATCTCAACTGTCTCGACTTAATACTAATAAAACACACCCCCAAATGCAATTCGGCGAAATTTTGACAATTGCGATCGTTTGATGCACGTACAATTTCCGCCCGAACGCTAATTTCCGAGCTACGAATTAAGATATTAATAAATTCGTCCTACACCAGCGACAAAACGCGACTTCACATGTTGACTACGCGATTACTGAGCCACGAGTGACGAGGACGACGAGACGCTTTGCAGACGACGCGGTTCCCCGGTCTTCGTATCCTTCCGCGTTACGTCATGTTTGACTGACTTGTCCATTGCCTGTCGCGGATTTTAAATCTTTTGATTTGAAAATCGGCACAATATATATATATATATGTATGTATATATTTCTTGTTAAGAACTATTTTAATCAAAATACTTAACTGATAAAAGTGCTTTTCGGACTAAATCTTTATTATTTTGTGTTTTTATGTATGATACCCTGGTGGGATATGCCAGGGATCAGGATTTGGGCGGACATAGGGATATCCCAGGGAGTTCCCCAGGAAACTCTAAGGACATTGCGGGATATACAGAGGATATCCCCCATATCCCACTGGGATATCCCCAGGGCATTCCAAGATTCTTGTGTTGTGTGGGACACGGCACACGGAAATAGGACAAACCTCAAAGTAGTTGCGTTGATCATTCACATGGAGGGTCAAATGACATGGAAGGTTAGATAACAGAAGTTTAGATGAATGAGACTCTATGATATTTTATTTGATTTTTTCAACCATGGGAGTACTGCATTTTTCTATTAAAGAAACTTGTCACTTTCATGAAAACAAAATATCCTTTGACAAATTCATGAAGGCATGACATATCATCTTCTCGTGGGTAGTGTTATATAGTCAATGGTTTCAGGTCACAACGGGCTGGTAGCCGCTGGTTATCTCGCCAAAGCAGGAGCAAAAGTCTGTGTTCTGGAAAGACGTTACCTCCTGGGGGGAGCAGCAGTTACTGAAGAAATTATTCCTGGCTTTAAGTTTTCAAGAGCATCGTACCTTCTAAGTCTCTTGCGTCCTCAAATCTACGAGGATCTAAAGCTAAAGGTTAGACTTTATACTAGCTGGACTATAGACTGGGATTGTTTAAACTTTAGCACTTTTAAATTAAAATTAACTAAAAAATTATAAAATTTAAGAACACAATTAAGATATTACATCAAGTATTTTTCAGTACACACAGAAAACTATAGCTAATTTTTTTCTAACAAAGAAAACCATAGTGGCAGTGGCAATATATCATTGGTGTTTGAACTATTTTTATTAACAAAAAGTAATGTTTACCTATTCAATGAAAAAATGAAAATTGCAGAAGCATTAATCATGAAAGCAAATTTAGAATTTTTCAGATTTAGTTAATTGCCCCTATTTATTTGTTTACTCTGACTGTTACTGCAGTGCTGTAGCAAAATTTTGTAGCATCAAACTACATTGACGTTCCTTGTACATTGATTCACCTTTAATTCTAAGGACTGAAGATCATAAGAGTATTACCTTACTTACATCCTACAATACACTTAATCTTGCAATATTCTTGATGAAATGAATGTCACTATATTTAAATTACCATTTATTATTTACCTTAAACATATACGGCCAATCAAACCCGAAATGGTTTTTGACCTCAACAGCCGCTTGCCATCCATCTTGGCTTTCTGCACCTCATCTTTTCCATTATAGTCTTTTTGGCATCCCAATGGTCGTCTGCTCCGTGAAAAACTTTCTGCTGCCATTCTTAGTGTAGAGTTCCCACCATTCGTTTATTATTTCCCAATACAAAAGTTAAAAATTACAAATTTTCAAAGCTAATGGTGATATAAAGTAATCACAGCAAATTTATTTAGACCAAATTTAATGTAGTTTCAATTTAAATTTTTAAATTTATTTATTCAATACAACACAATGACAAAAGAACATTATATACAACACTAAGCTACTCAAGCCTCATAAAAGGCTTGTCCGTAGCATTTTCTTGATTGCACTTAAATATCTTTTACATGCATCTCGGTGAGTCAGCCATCATTTAATAGTTTTCCCTTCCTAAACAGTAACAAAGCTTGAACCAACAAACTTAACAACTACATAACATGAGAATAAACATATAAAATTGAAATATAAAAATAGTTGAGCAAAGGAAAACAGTATCTAACAAAATCGAAGTAATACTGTAAGTAGGTATAGACATTACATCCCAATGTTAAATTTGTAGCCAGATTTTTTTAACAAAATCGTTGTTGATGTGAGCCACCTACAGATTGTGCTGATCTAAATTACTTAATGCTGTCAGATACACTAACTTTTTTGTCAAGTCAAACTTAGGGAATGACGTATGGTGAGCTATAGCAACTGTTATGACCTATCAACCTGGCCAGCAACAAAAAATAACGTATAAAATAGAATTTTAGACACTAGTGCATTCTGTGACTGGCTCACACAACTACCATCTTTTTTAATACAAAATTTGCTACAGCTGGTCCATATAGATGGGATGTCTAAATAGTCAATGGTATGTAGTGGTAGTATTAAAAAATTAGCTCTTATGTAATCCAATAGTCAATGGTAATATTCTCTTCTGTAGCCCAGATGAGTGCTATTTGCAATAGATTATTGGTACCTACTGTACAGTAGTACTTATGCCATTAAATACGAATACCTATCTATTTATTTTTCAGGAAAATGGCTTGAAAGTGTATCATCGACACCCATCTTCATACACCCCAATACGAGAGAGCCTCTGGTGCAGTCCTCACGCCAGATCTCTGACTCTAGGGAGGGATTCCTCACAAAACTCTAAGGAAATTGCTAAATTTTCACGTAAAGATGCAGAAGTAAGTGTATAAACTCTGCTATGAAAAATATAATAAACCCTATCATATACAGCATAATACATAGTATACAAAAATTATTTATTGACTTTGAAAAGATGCAAATATTGAAATTAAGATAGAGGAACTTAGAAGATTTAGTATATTTAACAAAAAATTCAATCTTAGTGAATATTTCATATTGATAATCATCGGTCTTTTAATAAATGAGCCCGCGGCTAAAGAACCAGGTGGTCTTACTCAAAGCTGTCATCCCATTAATTCAAAACACATATTGTTCAATCATCTTCGACTTTAAAATCACACCCTGTGTGTGGGCTTCGTACAAATTTCTCTTTAAATTATCTCTATATATCTTTATTTAAAATTCAGCTATATAGCTGAAACAATTGCTTTTCGATTTTTCAAATAGACTTATCATCCTTCTCAGTATCTAAAGCATTTTTGCTTTGTAGGTGCCTTTAGTTCTTGAAGATTTTGTTTCCTGAACCCATTTCTCCACAGGTTGTGGTATCTTCAGAAGTCATGTGATGCTTACATCCTAATATATAGGTAAAAAGTTTGTATACATATATAAGAGTCACTGCACTGTTTACCACATTACACTGTCTACACTCGCGGCGTGGCAGGAGCCTGTTGAGAGCGCAGGAGGCTTACAGTACTTCTAGTGGTATTTATAATAAGTTCTTGAAACTGGGTAACATTACTAAATCTAAAGTTCATTGTTTGTTGTGGTGTTTCCGGACCAATAGATTGACAAATAAATAAAAGGTTAAAATACCTAATTGTCGCCTTGTGGTCCAAAGTATTGTTCTAGTGGATTACAGGATTATGTATATTTCTGCGCGAGTGCCATCGTCGGATTCATATAAGAACTAGTAACTATAGACTTCCTTGAAGAGGTGCGTAAAAAGTTCACAACACAAAAACACATAAACACTGGTCGACCTGTAATCCACTAGGACAATACTGTGGACCACAAGGCGACAATCAGGTATTTTAACCTTTTATTTATTTGTAAATCTAAAGCATGGTTTTCTCATCTCTTAATAGGTACTTTAGAGAGAGTCTTTTATTTTATTGATAGGTAATACAATAGGAGTCAGCAATATATGATATAAAACTAAAATTCTCATTACATCCAGACCAAAACAAGTACCGGTACCGGTACCTAAAAATTATCTTCAGCTAATTCATGGAGATTAAAAATGCATATGTTTGTATGTTTAATCTATACTGAAACATCAAATATTTGCAGGCAAAAAATAGCTTGAATTAAGAGTAGTTAATTATGCATTCAGATATTTCCAAAATATGAGGAGTTACTGGAGCGACTGGTTAAAGCACTCGAGCCTGTTATGGATGTTTCACCTCACAGCTTCATGGAAATGTTGGACAAACCTTCCATCTGGAATAGAGCTATATGTGCCTGGAGCAATCATGATTTGAAACTGCTTGGTATGTATACACACACATGTATAATGTTGGATCAGCATTCAATCTGGAGTAGAGTTACATGTTATATCAGGGGTGCCCAATGCCCATCCCCTCCCCCCCAAATTCTTTGTTTAACCCATGCTGGGAGGTCTGGGGATTAACCCATAGTTATAATGCAGGGGTTTGCTTTTTAAATTACCTTATGTTCACAGTCATATTATAATGCCTTTGTACACGTTTAATAGTCTAAAACTCAAACCCTAACTTAACTATCCTCTGACTTAACTCGCTGTTTAACACCTAACAGTGGACACCACAAGGTCCATTCTTTTAATCATGAAAAAATTCTTACAAGACAATTTTTCTAAGTACCTATATTAATCTTTATTTCCCTTATAGCAGTTACAAGCCTGTGTAGCTGAAATTACACAAGAGATGTAGAATTAACTCACAGTTGAATTGCATAGAAACAATTAAACAGAATTGCTCATAAACACACTTGCTTGTACAAAGGCTAGATGTAATATGTAAATGTGAGGTTCAAAGTTGCCAAGCATATCGAGTTATGTAAGCATTATATTTCATCAACAAGGGTTGTTCTCACAACAATAATGTTAGTTGCATACTGCTACACTGTAATTTGTTATAAGTGAACCCTTGTTGTGCCTGTACATGTGTTTCATCGAGTTATTTATTTAGCTTGTTATTTATTAGAGTCTTATTAATACCCTCTACACTTTAAACAGTTGAAAAACTTAACATGTTTTATTTTGTTTTCTTATCTATCGTAGTATATATTTCTACCTGGGCAGAGATGTATTTTACTCGTCTTATACTCCTTAAACCTTTCAGGGATAAATTAAATGAAGGAATGGAGCTAAATAATTTTTTGCCAAAATTTAAAAAGTGATTGTTTTGTATTTATTTTGCTTGAAATAATGCATTGATTATAAAAAGATCTTTCTTAGTGCTGAACTAATTTTTGTACTAAAGTTATAAAGAAAAACCAATTGTCTTTCATGCTGTAGGCCTAGTCATGTTTTGAGTTGTCTTTAAGGTATTTAAATTATTATATTTTGATGAAATCTATTGTAATTCATGCTATTTAATGATGAATAAAGATCTGATTTGATATCCAGGATGGTAATAATGAGAGTAGAGTATGGATTCTACTTTTGAGGGGGGGGGCTTACCTCTAATCTCGCCCCCCTCAATCTATAGCTGGATCCACCAATGATTAGTAAGTGATTAAAATTTTATGTGTAATCCGTACAAAAAATTCATCTAATTTAGAGGATGCTTAGTTAGAAAAGGGTTAATTTTTTTATCAATTGAGTAAAACAAAGGTAATTGATGCATTTTCCAGCGACTAACATACTCAAGCTAGGGAGGGACATGAGGCCTCTGTATGAGTTCATGACAGCCTCTCCTCACAGTATTCTAAGCCACTGGTTTGAATCTGAGCCACTTCGAGCCACCCTTGCTACAGATGCTCTCATTGGAACATCAGCCTGCACCACCACTCCTGGGGTAGGGTGAGTATTGCAGTTTTCAGTGTATTTTATTCTATAAAGTATCATAGTGGTGTTTCAATACCGAGTCTTAAGATTAAGACCCTCTGAATATGATCGGCTAAGTTTGGATGAGAATCAATATTTCAAATCACATAAACCTTTATATCTTATGACGAATCTCCCAAAATAATCACAATCACAGAAAATTATGCCTCTGTGGTAGCAACAAATGCTTGTGAATATTGATGCAATCGCAGAACATAATGGCAAAAACTGTTTTAAAAATCAATTATTTTTTAAGAATCATAAGTACTGGTAATTAAGCTGATGAATTTTCTATCCACACATTCTAAGGTACCGGTAACTATATTTTATCTTATCCATTTGGTTGGATTTGCGATTCATGATTTGGGAGTAGATTTTTTGCGAATTTCCATATAGGGAAGTAGATATTACCGTAGGTGGCACGGTAGGACCTAGACCCGAGACCGATTTACTTGTTCATTTTGATGTCCCCAGAGGCAAAAAACACTATTAATTAAAATTGATATATTATACATGCATATGTCCTAGAACGCGATAACTCGAGTAACTTGGTCCGTTTTTTTATGATATTTGGCTTGAAGGTTATATTGGGCTGGATAAACTTGAATGAGTTTGTGTACCATCAAGATGGGGTCATAGAAACAGGATATTATGGAGTTTTAAAATTTTCAAAAATTGGTTTTTTCAATTTTTTCCCCTAAAACATGAAAATTTGCAATCTTTATTACAGCCATCTTGTAGAGCTTTAGGGGAAAAAAATTGAGCTTTGAAGCGTTGTTGTAAAACTAAACGTTACTGATCTACATACCGAGCACATTTTCCAGGAACATAAAAACATCTAGAATTTCACAGTGAATGAATAATGCTAGCATATAACACAGGACACGTCATAACAGTAACGTAAAATTGTAGCATTGTAAAGACTTGAAAGCAGAGATTAATTGTATTCAAGAAAACAGCAGTGAGCAGACCCGATGAGACAGTTGTATTGTAGCAGCATCTCAACATCTCACTGACTCACTGAGACGCGCTGTCAGAGACGTAATGACTTCTCATTGTGCTGCTATTGCTCCAATGTAGCAACTTGCCTTTCACCTTTTCATGTCAACTTTTCCTTTTGTTAACCTACGGTACTTTTTTTCTGTTGTTTTTCATCAATAAAAACTCTGTTCTAGACCCTGGTGTGTTGAGATTGAATAAGTTATTAGTGTTTAAATGAAACCAAACTTGAATCATTCCATTTATAGAGTCGCAGTTTTTAATGATAGGTGATGTGAAAGAATATTGTTTCCTTTTCTATGAAATTTACTTACCCGTTCTATCAATTAGTTTTCCATCTGCTCACTATATGCGCTAATGTTTCTTTAACAAGTTTTTTAGTGCGTAAATCAGTGGGTTTCACAGTTATACTATGAAAGAATATAAATGTTTACTCCTAGTAAAAATAGGTACCTTAACTGCCAATTTTATTGCAAGAAAGTATGTTTATATTTGCTGGAACATTAATATTGTGTAGTGGCAATTGTGTTAATAACATAAGCGAGTAATCCTGTAATATGATTAATTAGCATAATCTATTGAGCATAATAGTTAATTAATTAATAGTTTAGTTGTCAATCAATTTGCCCTACATTGCATTCTAGATGAATGAATGATTCCTTAGAATATTTTTCTACCAAAATTAAGGGCAGACACTGATAAACTACCATAATAACAAATGTTTTGCAGTTAACACGTTTGCTACCGCAATATCACTAAATTTTTCATTCATATGGACCAGCGACGCACATATGTGATGGCCCGTTTCTATCCATAGACTGGTACGGTAACATTAAAATAGACTGACGTGGCATATTATTTACGTTGGTGTCCCAATGTTATTAAAAAGCTTATATTTTTGAAACAGTCTATTTGAAGGCCCTCATCAATTCTCTGCAGTGGTCTACAGGGATGTCTGTTGCATATGTCTGTCTCTTGGTCTGTAGTGGATATGATGATTAGGAACGTCATATGATAGTTGGCAAAACTGTTTTTTACTTTGCTGCATCACTGGCCTGTGGTCTGCATGTACTCTGAACCAAGGGACACCAGGTCTATGTGTAGTATTCAAATGTATACCTCAGTCCGTTGCAATGACCGTAATGTCGCATATGTGGCGATCGGTAGCGAAAGTGTTAATGGTATGATATAAAAAAACTGTATTGATAAAAAGTTTATACATTTTATTTTTAATGGGATGTAAAATGATATTTTTAAAAAACAGTTGTATAGTTTGAGAAATACAATGGATAACGTAAAGCACTACTAAAGTAAGAACTTGTTCAGGTATGTACTTCTCCATCATGTGATGGGAGGGGTAGATGGTGTGAGAGGAGCCTGGGCGTATCCAGAGGGAGGCATGGGAGCGGTTTCAAACTCTATTGCTAAGGCAGCACAGTGCCACGGGGCTGAAATTTACACCAACCAGGTGAATATCATCTATAAATCTTTATAAGAAAATATATCACCTTTAATGGTCTAATTTTCTGATTTTTAATATACATTTTAAAATGGATTTGAGCTATCTTTCTATATTATTAAAATAATTTTTTTTATTTTTGTGTGCAGCTTTTGATTTATAATATAAAAATATGTCCTTTGAATTTTGAAATAGTTAGGGGCTTTTGCCCCTACAATGGTCTAGTTGTGAGGTCTAGATCAGATATATAATGAAACAAAACTGAAAAAATATTATCTATATAGGCAAGCATGTTACTTTAAAACCTTTTTTCTCAGCTCGTGTGCATCGCAGGGAAAATCTATGCATACTGTTAGAAAGACATTTTCCTGTATTGTGCAGAATGCCTTTATAAAACTAAAAGAACAAAAAATTAATTTTAAATTTGAAAAAAAGTAGCCTGGGCCTTATGGGTTGCTGGTGACGAAATAACAACAGAGTATAAACAGAAAATCAAAACAAATGAAATAAATTCCAATCACATGTTTTATTTACAGTGTGGGGTGAAAATAGAGAAGTGTGCACATCAAATAACTTTGGTTGAGTCATCGACCACTGGACGACCTCTAGTTAACTTTAAAACATAGGTGCAATAAGTATTATCTTCTTGTACCTTTGTAAAGGTCAATACCCTCACCAACTAATGTAGCAGAAGAATGAGGATGAGACGCTTGATGTAAGCCACTCAGGGCGGATAAAGCAGCAATATCAATGTTCACTGAGCTCCAAGCCTAGATTACCGCCACATCTCTGATCTGGATTACATTAAGCCTGCAGTTTGTTACGTCTCAGACTCAGGTCCGGTCTTATCTCCCTCCGCTACCGACCCCCTGAACCCCCTGAGCTGATTTATGATGAACGTGTTTTGTCCTGTGATTTAATTATCTTCTGAGCCAATACATCCTGAACCAACTATTTTTTCAGCAAATGATATCAAAATCCAACCTTAGTTCAAATTTTTTTAACAATGTCTCAGGGAAATAATATTAGTTTTTATACTAAGTATGTTTTTATATTAAGGTTTGTTACTAATTTTTGTTTTATTTTGGCACGAAATTGAAACAAAATTAAAGAAAAATGTAAAATTCAGTAATTGTGTTAATTCAAACAACTATTAAAAGGAGTAACCACACGTCAACACGAAGATTTGATTATATTTGACTATGCGGACCTTTTGACAATGCAACATATTTATAAATTTCACATCAAAATTTATAAATAATTGGTTAGTCATTGATTTACTGAGGTAACAAAAAACTAAACAAAATTACCCTCAACAGACTGCAACCCAACATAAATGTAAAGCATGAATACTCTCCTTGTATAATATATATATAAAATAAAATTGACAATTCACTTTTTAAAACTTACAATTCTAACCAACCTATTATGAATAAAACTCTTTCAAACAAACTGGGATAATGTTTAATTAGAAAGAGAATAAAACCACCTATAAAACCTTAGCGGCCGTAAAGAGGGCTATTTGCTGAGCAAAGCTTTAGGGACGAATTAACACTTAAGCCGTTTATGTCACTTGAATGCGACTGAAAACTTAGTTTTAACTTCAATTTTATGAAGTATAATTTAATTTTTTGAAACTATTTATAGTTGTTTTGTATATAGTGTGACAGTTGGTTTAATGGATTAACACCAAACAATGTGACTTATACAACATTTTCGTTGGTATTGGATTTTTAACAACAGGGCACAAAACTTCTACTATTTTGTGTGTTTTGTCCAAATTTGTATAGCACATTAATGATTAATTTCAAAATCATGATGCGTGAATGATTGATGATATAGTAAAATTCCTTGATAGACATTATGTAAAAGTAATTTTCTAAATCCATTTTACGATACAGTAAATGCGTTGTAGTACATAGCATGGAATCCACGACATGCAGTACATTTAATATAGTGAAATCTGTTGAGTCTAAATGAATTTCTGACACTTAACAATCCGTTGGCTAAGAATTTGGCCAACATCTTAAAGTCAGAAAATAGAATCTCCTGAGTTAAATGGAGAGAAAGTTTTAAAGAGCCTCTTTTCATCGTGGCTGGCTTCTAGTTTACTTTTACTTACGTGCTAATTATCAATTTATTTTATTTTGGACTAAAACAACATTTCATTATTTGAATACAACATGTCTTTATGTAAAATACAATTGATGTCTGTGTATTCTTTGTGGAAAATAAAACTGTCAAGTCGGTTCGGTTTGAACACTTTGTAAGTTATAATGCTGCTGGAAAAAAATCTGTAAAATTTAAATCGTGATAACATTACGTGTTTCCCCTTTATGGTGTGCTAAAAATCAGGTAAGCATTGTATATAAAGAAGTTGGCTATCATAAAGTCAGAAAATACCACGAGTTAAATGGAGAGAGAGTTTTATGCAGTCTCTGTTCATCACGGCTGGCTCCTAATTTTATTAAACTTAATTACAAATAATTTATTTACATTCTCATTTCATAATCAGACGCAACATTATTTGAATACAAAATCTATATAAATAAAATTAGAGTTTTGTCTGTACATTGCTTAGAATAATGAACTTTTTGGTTATTTTTACATTTCATAGGTCAGAGAAACCGAATCAAACCTTATCTCAATTTCTGTCTGTCTGTCTGTCTGTCTGTCTGTCTGTCTATCTGTCATTCTCTTGGTAACGCTAAAATACGCACTTTATTACAACTACTCCTCAATAACTATAGCACTGTCCCGCCTGAAACTTATTTTCCAAATACTATACATATATGAGATGGTTTTAGACGTATTTCATCGAATATGAGACAGTTAGATATTTAACAGTAAACCCTTGAAAATCAAGTTTTTGTCGATTTTTGACGTGGAATTTCTGGAAGAATGTTGCTTTGTTTACAACTAATCATATGCACATGGTTTTAATTGAAATACAATCTTAATTTTGACATTGGCATACAGCTGTGATTAGAAAACGTTAGCCTATTTGAACTCAAGGTTAACCATAGCCTTATCGATTCACACAACTTAAAAACCATACGAAATGTATACTATATTATATAACTGAACACCAGTTCTGCTAATTATAAAGTTCTGCTAATTATAACAATGGGTTTTGTACATTTCATCCATTACCGTACAAATAATTAAAATAATAATACATTAATTGGTTAGAAGTAAATTTAATTCAAATTACAGATTCAATACAAAGTATTCAATATAAAAGTTAAACATTTTAGATAACAAAATTACGATCAGCTGATTGTTATTCTTTAATATCTGTGCGCTACTAACCAGCAAACAAACTTGACCAGTTTATTATTGTTCATTACTCTTTACACCAAAATAAAAGTTATAATAGTTAATAATGTCCTAAATTATTTCACGTTTATAAATAAAAGAAAATCTACTCTTCTTTTAATTTATTTTTTTTTGAGGTAATGTTTTTAAAAAAGTTCATATTCCCATATGAATTTGCATCAATCAGATGTTTCATACTGTACAGTAGAGATATTCGTTGACATAGTGTCAAACACAAATTAAATTTGTTTACAACTAAACATATGGACAATATTTTTGTTGCTTTAGTTGAGAGGTTACAAGTTAATCTTTAATACATTATTTGTTGAAATATTTTCTATTGTTTCTAAATAAATATGTCCTGAAGAGTATGCCTCGCAAGAGAAAAAGCAATTTGGGTAGAAAAACAAATAATGCCAAGAGACAAAAATTGTGTGTATCCACGGAATCAGTTGATTATGATGATTCGGACTCTGATGATGGTGTACATAGCAATAATGAGTCGACAATTTTAAGTTCCGTTGTGGTTGAAGATTATGCACGACCTTCAACCAGTCGAGAGCGTGTCGCCCTATTTAGGTCTCAGCAGAATGAAAAAGAACGTGAAAGCAGGCGAGACACTGAACGTTTAAGATTTAGCCAAAGAATACAAAATGAGACGGAAGAGGAGCGAGAAGCTCGACGGAACAGGGACCGAATACGGCACGTCCAGAGAAAAGAAAATGAGACAGAAGAGGAGCGAGATGCACGTCGGTGCAGCAACCGAATACAGCAAGTTCAGAAGAGGGGAAACGAGACAGAGGTTGAGCGAGAAGCACGTCGGAACAGTGACCGAATACTACACGTTCGGGGGAGGGAAAACGAAACAGAGGAGGAGCAAGAAGCACGTCGGGAGAGTGACCGAATACTACATGTTCAGAGGAGGGAAAACGAGACAGATGAGAAGCGAGAAGCACGTCGGAACAGTGACCGAATAATACACGTAAGGAAGAGGGAAAATGAAACAGAGGAGGAGCAAGAAGCACGTCGGGAGAGTGACCGAAAACTACATGTTCAGAGGAGGGAAAACGAGACAGATGAGGAGCGAGAAGCACGTCGGAACAGTGACCGAATACGACACGTACGGAAGAGGGAAAACGAAACAGAGGAGGAGCAAGAAGCACGTCGGAACAATGACCGAATATTACACGTCCAGAGAAGGGAAAACGAAACAGAGGAGGAGCAAGAAGCACGTCGGGAGAGTGACCGAATACTACATGTTCAAAGGAGGGAAAACGAGACAGTAGAGGAGGGAGGAGCACGTCGAAACAGTGACCGAATCCTACACGTTCGCAGGAGGGAAAATGAAACAAGAGAAGAGAGAGAAAGTAGGCAAGAACGAGATAGAGTTCGGCAAAACCAACGTAGGAATAATGAAACTCCTGAAGAGCGGGAAGCTAGACATATAATCGACAATGATAGGTACCGTCGCACTGTTGAAGAGCAAACTCTACTTTTGCATGACGAGGCGACCCGAGTGGAGGAACTTCGAGCAAGCCAGGACATTGCTGACAGAAATGCCCGTGTTGCCGCTGATTCTGAAAGACATAGGGTGAACAGAGTCGTTGAGAGCGACGCAGAAAGACAAACTAGGATCGCGCGGGAAAGAACTCGGCATGTCGAAAGAAATTTAACAGAATGGCGAGACACAC